GAGGAGCCCAGAGACCCGAGCCCAGAAACGAGGGCACTGCCCAGACCCTGGGATACCCACAAAACAGTGGCAGCCCCTGCACCCCAGGCCTGCCCAGGCATCTTGGAGGTAACCACACACACTGCGGCCGGCTGCACTGCTGCCTCGGTGGTGTTCACAGGACAGGCCATAGCAACTGCTCTCCCTTCGTTTTTTTGGGGTTTTTTAGTGTTTCTTAGAGACGGGGTCTCACTATGTTGCCCAGGCTGGCCTCAAACCCCTGGGCTCGAGCAAACCTCCCACCTCACCCTCTTGAGTACCTACAACTCCAGCTTCCTTGCTTTTTTCCGAGGCATCCAGAAGCTGGAAGAGTCCTTCACAAGCCCTGCACACAGCTCTGGAGACCCCAGGAGTGAGTTCTGGCTGGGCCTTGAGCTCTGGGTTTCGGGTAGAGAAGGTGTTGGTTTCTGCCTTTGCAGAAAAAGAGCCTGGTGCTCGCTCAACCAGAAGAAAGTTAAGCACGGTTGTTGCTGAGGGAACTGCGCGCGTCCTGAGAGGAAGGCATCACGACCCAGGAATTTGATTCATTCTCGTTGGAAGACAGCGTGAGAAAATGAACAACACCGTTTTCCAGTGCTGCAAGATTAATTATGTTTTTAGAGCAAACGTCAGTGAGAGGTCATTATGAGGTTTGTCTCCAGGGGCGTTGAGGAGACGAAGGGGACGCGCTGCCCGCCTGGCCCTGGAGGTGCTGCTCCCCCGTGGACAGCTGCAGGGTGCACGGCTCTGGCCGGCCCAGGAGGAGGGGAAGGCAGAGCGGCTGGTCAGCGTGATTCTCCTAAATGCCACACAGAGTCGTGGGTGCAGCCCCAAAGGGACAGAAGTCACCCTTGGGCACCCAGGGACAGGAGGGGTCACAAGAAACAGGCCACTGCAGAAGCCCTCGGCCTGGAGCACTGGTTCCCCAGGACGGCAGAGGGTCTTGGCCCCCACAGACCGCGTGAGCACGTCCGAAGACGCAGCCTGCTGTGCCGACCCCCCAGCCGTGGAGCGGCGGCTGGCAGCTGTCGCCTGCAGAAACACTCTGTCTTCTCCGAGCTGCTCCGCCAGACTGGAAGCTTCTGGGATTCAGTCGGCCACAGAGCTCTGAGTAGATTTCCTTGGCTTGTATGCTGTTTGGAAGGTTGTGGCCATTGTTCTGAAAAATAACTGGAAAAAACATTCATTCAGATCTTTTATTGCTGTAGTCTAGACAGGAAAGTAGGTTCTCTGCACTCACGGGGAGTTCCATGAGTACCAGCGAGGGCCCTTTCCAAGCTCAGCCCCGACTCCCTGCAGGCAGGACCCGGGCGGCCCTGCCTCCTTCCCGGTGGACTTGGATCTCATGGGAAGCTCTGTATGGTCTGTTTTGGGGACCGGCAGATTCTAAAGCAGGACATTCGACATAACAGAGCCTGAGAGAAGACTGTGACCAACACAAGGAAAGATGTGAAATAGACTCGACCCCGCAACCACAGCCGAACGCTTTCTACTAGTGCACACTCGACACCTGCTGTCGCCAAAACACACCGGCAGAAATCACATCTTTTTCCCGTGGAGTCACAAACCATATTTTGGCTTTAATATTTAAAGTCAAAATCTGCAAGGTGGCAACAGTAGCGTCGTCCCTCGGTACATGTGGGGGACTCCAGGACCCCAAGGACCCAGGGCCCACGCCTTTCAGTCCTGCCAGGAAAGGCGTGACATTATGTGTCCCCCACATGTCCCCCACCGTGCCTGAATCACCGCTAGATTCCTTATAATGCCAAATACAGCGCAGATGGTGTGTAAACAGCTGTCACGTTCCATTATTTTCATTACTTTTTGTTTTGTTTTCACGTATTTTCAATCTGTGGTTGGTTGCACCGTGGATGGAGAGGGCCAAGTTAATAAAAATCAGCTTTTAAAAATTAACCTCAGTGGCAGCTGATGCGTCTCGCCCCTCCCTGCAGGGCCGACCAAATAGAAATCCGTTTTTAAAACTTAGAGGACAGTAGCAGCTAATATGTCTCACCCCGCTCCGTGCAGTGCCCCGCGGAGTGGCAGCGTCCTTTCCTAGAGGGTCCTGTGAAACCCTGACCTAGGCCCCCAGTGCCTGCATCTGTGGCCCCCACATCGTGGGGGAGGCCCGAGCAGCTGTCAGCTTGCACCCTCTGTGCACCCTGTCTGGGCCGCTGGGAGCAGGGAGCCTCCTGCCATGCCAGCCCTGGGTTCTGAGCTTCCCGGTACCCTGTTTGCAGGGGCCGTCCCCGCCCCCAGGTCTTGTGAGGAAGATTCTCATATAAGGCGGCTGTCCCCTCACAGCCCCTTCACCTGGCAGCTGAGCCTCACGGGGAGCTGCTTCAATGTCTCACTCAGCTGTGGAGAGCCCAGGACCCCAGAATAATCAAGGGGAGTGGGTCTTAGCCGGGCGGTCATAAGCAGGCATCTTACGGGGCCATCCTGCCATTCATGGTGGGGGTGCTGTGGAGCCAGGCGGCAGCGAGCCTCTTCACCAGTGAGGCCACATCTCCTCCTCACCAGGGCTTGTTGGGGGGGCGAGTTCAAAGTCAGATCTCCTAGCCCGCCCGCCCACTCTTTAAAAAAGTGAAGACGCAGCCATCGCCGACATCCTTGTGTGGCACAGAGCAGTTCCCAGGAGCCAGCGTCCGCTGCAGAAGAGACGGAGAGTTTAGGGAGTTCCCACAGAGTCTGGACCGATTTTGTGCTTCTGAGACTTGCCTGTGAATCCACACGGCTGTTCCAGAGCTGTGCACTCTGAGAGCTGGGAGGCTTCGGTTCTGTGCCACTGCAAGCGGCACAGGCCACGGCTGAGCAGAAGGCGCATCTGCTGCGCCGTGGCACCGAAGTCCAGGTGTGCTTGGGCCCAAGGCTCCCAGGACGTCCCCACTGCCTCCTGGGCTGCCAGGCCCACGTGTGCATGGGCAAGGCCCTCGGGGAGGGTGTTCCTGGAAGAATGCTTCCTTCGCTTGAAGGATGTAACGTTGCTCTGTGGGGTGGAACATGTTAGCTCCCGGAAGAGCCCCCAGCCTCTCACGATTCACGCCAGTGCGGGCAGTGCAGCAGCAGAGCGTGACATCCTGGATGGCAGCGAAGCTCTCGATTCCACACGGCTCCATCCTGGAGACACTCACTGCAGCATGCTCTCCTCGTGGGGCCTCCTTCCCTGACCTCTGCACTCATGGTGGGGGTGCACAGCCGGGTGGACACCGGCCGCCATACATGGAGCTGAAGTAGAGCCCGTCTTGGGCTCACGGAGCGGAGGCCGTAGGTGGAGGTGAGCCAGCGGTCGCAGGCATCTGGAACCACGCACCCCGTTACCTTTCGCACCCTGCCTCCATCTCTGTGGACTTGACCATGTCATTCCGCATGCGCAGCTGTGTTCCTGCAGTGACACGGGTCCTCAGCTGGCTTCCGATGCCTAAGCTCTTCCACAAACATTCAGGGGGCCTGGAATCACGCCGCAGCCCAAATCCTTTGAACCTCTATGAACAAGCACTTGCTTCTCAGCAAATTGTCTGGCTTCCCCCAAAATAAAGAAGATGGGGTTCTATGTGGATAGTTACCCCTTCAACTCCTAGCGCCAAGGGCAGGGCCCTGTCTGCCTCCGCCCCCAGGACAAAGCCTGGCAGGTAACTGGTGCTCCTGGCGCCCACACGCAAGGGAGGCGTGACCTGGCCCCACTCTGCCCTCCATGCTCAGTGCCTCTTATGAGCCCAGCCTTTGCTGGACCTGCTGACCCTACCAGGATTGCTGCTTCCCCTCTCAGCCTCTCTGGGTTCTGCAACCCCTGCTCCGTCAGCCTCCTCCCTGGTCTCAGCCAGTGCTAACTGCACCGGGCACCCACATGGCCCAGTGCCTGCCCCTCCCTTCTGGATTCCAAGCACTCATGGCCCCCACCCCGCAATCTCTGATTTGCTTCTGCAGGCTTCCATCGAGTGTCCCCTGAGGCTCCACGTCCCCATCACCTCCACATCCTGTTTCTCAAGTGTCTTAGATCTTGTGTGTGCTCCCCACCCTCACTCCACCCCTCTCTTGCCCAGAGAATGAGCCTCCTTCCCCTCCTTTGTGCCTCTTCCACGTGCCCAGCCCTCTGCAGACAGGAGTCAATCTGGTGCCTTCCTGAGTCTCCCTCAGGCCGCGCAGCGTCGTGGATGTGGCATGGCTCAAAGGTCTGACAGGTGTACGTTCACATCCTTCATCCTCTGGGCCTCACCTTCTTCGGTGACGCTGCGGCGACACCTGTCTGTAGGATTGCTGAGGAATTAGGTAGGACCAAGCAGCGGCACCCAGGGAGCCTCAGCCCTTCCCCCAAGGCCCATGACTCACCGTTGTTATTTATCCATGAGTCCAGGTCCCGGCTGGGTCCTGCCTTGTCTTTCTTTGTATACGAGCATGGAGCACAGGACCTTGCATCAAGTGTTGGATGAGTTGGGGGAAGCTTAGGGACATCGAGAGGCACATCAACCTTTCGTGAAGTCCCAGCATCTCAGAGCAGGGCCAGCACGTGTAGGTGGGGAGGAAGAGCTCTCCGGGTCACAGTGCACAGCAGCATGTGCTGAACGTGGGGCAGCGCAGACTCCATGCCGCATGCACCACTACCCGTGGACCACGGAGGCTTCTGGAAATCTAGGACGTGAGAGCAGATGCCCCTCCCTGAGCAGACACTCCTCCGGGGGTACGGTCATGCCCTCTGATCAGCTGAGACATTTCAAGGAAAGTTATACCCTTTCCAGCCCAGTTTTCCTTTTAGAAAGGTTCAGCCTCAGAAGATGAACTCGTGTGACCAAGCCCAGTGATCAGCCAGGATTCTTGAATCTTGGGACCCGTTGCCAGAATAACAAAATGGTGGCTTCCTGTAACCTCCACGCTTTAAAGCGACAATTCTGATACCAGCGTTAAGTTTTCAGGAAACGAAGCCGCCTTCGACGCCCCATCGGCAGCTGTTTTCTACTAAAACGTCCCCTGTTTCTCTCTTCTAGGCGTCTCCTTTAACAGCGTTTACACTCAGATCTGGAGAGTCCTGCTGCACCTGGCTGCCGACCCCTATCCCGAGGTCTCGGACCTGGCCATGAAGGTGCTCAACAGCATCGCTTACAAGGTATGTGCCGGGCGCTCTCACCGCCGCGCCCATGCTTCCGGCGCTCCGTCACCGGTATTCACGTGAGGAACCCCAGGCGTGCCCAGGTCCACACCACGGTTTAGAGAATAAACAAATGAGCGTCAGCAAACATCTTGAACCTGGAGATGTACAGCACACGCCAGACTCTGTGTGCAGCTCCCCTGTGGGCAGGGTGCTGGAGTTAACTCTCCTTGTCGAGGGAATCAGGTGAGGATTGCCATTATTTTTCAGGAGCCTCGTACTGTCTGGGTGAGCTACAGTGCTCGCCTTTCTTCCGTTTCCTTTCTTTCTTTACTTATTTATTTATAAGAGACAGGGTCTCCCTTTGTTGCCCAGGCTGGTCTTAAACTCCTGGGCTCAAAGGATCCTCCTGCCTCGGCCTTCCAAAGTGCTAGGATTACAAGCGTGAGCCACCGTGCCTGTGTTTTGTTTTTTTTAAGACAGAATCTCACTCTGTCCAGACTAGAATCCAGTGACCTGATCACAGCTCACTGTGGCCTCCAACTCCTGGGCTCAAGCAGTCCTCCCACCTCAGCCTCCCAAGTAGCTGGGAATACAGGTACACACCACCACACCCACCTAATTTTTAAATGTTTTATAAAGACAGGGTCTCAATATGTTCCCCAAGCTGGTCTCTAACGCCTCAGTTCGAGTGATCCTCCCACCTTGGCCTCCTGAAGTGCTGGGATTCCAGGCGTGAGCCACCACACCCAGACTTTCCTTCCGTGTCTGATAGCAGTAATTTTTCACTCATTCAGAACCCTTCTGGCTAAGGTTTCTTGTTCATGGCCATTCTAGCTAAAGGGAACTTTTCAAAGAACCAGCCTTTGGCTTCATTGGTTTTTCTCCGTTGTCTGTCTGTTTTCCGTTTTATTGATTGATGCTTTCATCGATAAAGCTTGCTTTCTTCTGCTTACTTTGAGTTTAATTTGCTCTTCTTCTCCTAGCTTCTTAAGGTAGAAGCAGAGGTCATTGATTTTAGTCCTTTCTCTTTGGGGACTGTAAACTCTTCTCAGTCCTTTTTTTTTTTTTTTTTTTTTTTTGAGACGGAGTTTCGCTTTTGTTACCCAGGAGTGCAATGGTGCGATCTCGGCTCACCGCAACCTCCGCCTCCTGAGTTCAGGCAATTCTCCTGCCTCAGCCTCCTGAGGAGCTGGGATTACAGGCACACGCCACCATGCCCAGCTAATTTTTTGTATTTTTAGTAGAGACGGGGTTTCACCATGTTGACCAGGATGGTCTCGATCTCTTGACCTCGTGATCCACCCGCCTCGGCCTCCCAAAGTGCTGGGATTACAGGCTTGAGCCACCGCGCACGACCCTCAGTCCTTTTTGGAGCTCTGAGCATTTGGCCTACTGCCTTCCTGCTGGTTTCTCTCTGCCTCATGGGTCGTCACTCTACCCACGAGCAGGTAAATACTTAGTCAAAGACCCCAGGGGCCTGCAGACCTTGGAAGCTTTCCCCTCTCCAGTACTCTGCCCTGCAGGCTCTCAGCACCGCAGCCTCCCCGGAGCCCTGGTCTCTGTCTCCGGTTCACTGAAAGCTTCTCCACACTGCAGCCTGGGCCTGCCTGAAACCGCTTGCAAGCCGTTTTCCGGGCCTGCTGTTTATTTCCCTTCTCTTGGGGATCCCAGGCCCACGATACCCAGCACCCAGCGTCTGAAAACAAGTGTTTGCGGTATTTTTTCTGGTGTTCTAGTTGCTTATGGATGTTGGATGAGATGATACGCGTGGAATTAAGTCGCTCATTATAGCACTTGGATTTTTTTGTAACTTTTTGATAAAATTTCGAAAGCCTGCAGAGAAGTTGCAGGGAAAGGTCGCCCTTGCCGTCCCGCGGCCTTCTCTATCTTCGTCGGACCCCGCCCCGGCGCCGCAGTTGGCTTGGGTCTCACGCTGCCAGGGGCTGCAGGGCTGAGGAAGCACAGCTCTCCATCCTTGTCCGTCACTTCTTCCAAATGGAACTGTCAAGCCCCCCTCTCATTTGCCGCGGCCTTCCAGGTCCCGGCTGGCATGGAGCCAGGGTCCCTGCAGCTCTTCATCTCCTGCTGCTACTGCACTTGCGTGGCTTTTGGGTCCTTCAACTAAGTTACTTCCCGCCGGTCTGGTTATATCTTACTCCGACAGAAATCACCTTACTGTCTGCAGAAGCTGCATCTTCAGTTCTTTTTTTTTTTTTTTTTTTTTTGAGATGGAGTATTGCTTGGTCACCAGGCTGGAGTGCAGTGGCACAATCTCGGCTCACAGCCACCTCCACCTCCCAGGTTCAAGTGACTCTCCTGCCTCACCCTCCTGAGTAGCTGGGATGACAGGCATGTGCCACCACGCCCAGCTAATTTTTATATTTTTAGTAGAGACAGGGTTTTACCATGTTGACCAGGATGGTCTCGATCTCTTGACCTAGTGATCTGCCTGCCTTGGCCTCCCAAAGTGCTGGGTTTACAGGCCTGAGTCACCTCGCCTGGCCTGTTCTTTGTAGTATCACAGGTAATAGTCACAGGTAGCCTATTGACCAACTTGGAAAGATCCAGGTTGTTTGATTAGGCCCTGGCCTCCCCTCCCCACAGCAGATCCCAGCTGCCTCCTGCACCACTGCGTCCTCACGGCAGGCTCCCTGCCACTCCCTTCGTCACCGCGTGGTGTGGCCAGCTGCACAGGCACCTGGCGATGTTCAGTCCCGTCAAGTTCCTTTTTTGTGTCACTGGCCTATTGAAACGAGCCAGTCAATTAAGTTAACGTTTTCCTTATGTCGTAGGAAAACTAAGAAAATGTATAATCCTTTGCTTTTAAACTAAGAATAGGATAAATACAAAAATAAAACTTAGGCTGAGTGCAGTGGCTCACACCTGCAGTCCCAGCACTTTGGGAGGCCGAGGCAAGGGGCTGGCTTGAGCCCACGTGTTTCAAGACCAGCCTGGGAAACACAGGGAAACCCCATCTCTACAAAATAGTAACAAGCTAGCCAGGCGTGGTGGCAGGCACCTGTGGTCGCCGCTACCCAGGGGGATGAGGCTGGAGGATCCCTTCAGCCCAGGAGCTCAAGACAGCAGTGAGCTGGGATTGTGCCACTGCACTTCAGCCTGGGTGGCAGAGTGAGACCCTGTCTTTTAAAAAAATGTTTAAAATATGTGTTTGTTACGTATTATGGTCTACGTAACAAACATTTTTGTGACCAAGAAGGAGAGGTAATAAAGTAATAGGAAGAAAATAAGGAAGAAAAGAAAGCCTTAGACTGCACGAGCGCCCCGGAAGAACCCACGGAGCCGCCAAGCCGAGCAGCAGGTTCCGAGGCGCCTCCGACGAGCTGAGGCTCTGGGAGGACTGGCACTGAGATTGCCGCATCTGCCTGCTGCGGGTCAGGGAAAATCAGTTCTCGCCACTTCCCACTGCCCTTTCAGACTCTAAATAGCCTCTACCATTTTTAGTTTAAAATTTCAAGGTTGGGTTTCAAATAGTCATTTTCACTCAAATAATTGTAAAAGCTTTTTATGAACATTAGTAAGTGGTTTAAGTTTTTGGAATTGGTATAGAAAGTAGAGGCTGGCGGCTCGCCGTCCCTGCAGGCAGCTCTCTCACACAGGGGTGTCTGGGGGCCTCTTCCCTTCTCTTGGAGACACAGGACTCTGTGGCCGTGGCCCCCTTGCTCTGTCCTGACTGTTCACGTGGATCCAGTGCTCTTTAGGAGCCTTGATCCTTTTCCCCAATTAGTTTAGCTTCTTGGGCGTTTTGGTCATGATTAAATCGGTATTCAACCTATTCAAGTTTATTCTTCAGTGGCTTTTGTGTGTTTAGCCTTACTAAAAATTTAGCCTGAATTATTTTAAACCATAATCCCGGTGTTTAATCTTGAAATATAAGGACTGTTACGTGCATTCCTGTGGGCGTGGCCTCCAGCTGATAAACAGCTCCTCCTAGGAAGCTCTCGAGTGTGCACAGCACAGGAGGCTCTGCTCTCTGCTCTGCCACACGCATCCTAGCACAGCCTCCGCAACCCGGGCCCTTTTGGATTGTGTGGCACATAGCCTGGCCGGACGGCCGGCCCCCCCGCCACCCGCGGTAAGGCAGTTAGGCATCTTGCGTGTACCTTTCATGTTAGGGTATAGCAACTTGAATGCAGGGCCTTGTTGTGCTATCTGATCGAGCCCCGGGGACCCCCATAAAAGTGGCGTTTGCTTTCTGTGCCTGCTTTGCTGTTCTAGAATGGCACACAGACCCCAAGGCACCTGGCCATCACTCCAGCAGACACACCACAGCCAGAGGGGTGGAGAGCAAAGTCAAGAAAAGGCGTCAGCGAGAGACCTCGCTATGCATAGCACAAGGCAGCGTGTGTGTGTGTGTGTGTGTGTGTGTGTGTCTGAGTGTACGTACGTGTGTGTGGGTTTAAGAGTAAACATTGCTACTAAAGCATTTGGAAGCATAAATCTTTCTTGTCTTCATTTTAATTTCAAGAAATGCCTTGTTTTCCTGCTCTAGGAGCTGAAGGGATTATATTTCATTTTACAGAGAAACGAGCCTATTTTAGATATTTAACTCTGAAGCCAAATTTTTGTTCATCAGAGTCTAAAACAGCCTTATTACTCTGGTATGCCCCATAGAATTCTATATTCAAATATAGACGTTGCCACGAGCTCTGTATGGGAGAACCCACACAGCTCCGGAGCTCTGCTCTAATTTCATGGATTTATAATGCATTTCTGTTTTCATTCCATGGGCTTGGGGTTTTTATTTTGCTCTTAGTTTTCTTTTCCCTTGGTTTGGTTTTGGGGTTTTTGTTGTTTTTGAGACGGGGTCTTGCTCTGTCACCCAGGCTGGAGTTCAGGGGTCCAGTCATGGGTACTGCAGCCTCGACCTCCTAGGCTAAAGCAGTCCTCCCACCTCAGCCTCCCAAGTAGCTGGGACTACAGGCGTGCACCACGCTTAGCTAATTTTTGTATTTTTTGTAGAGATGGGGTTTCATTATATTGCCTAGGCTGGTCTC